GTGCTATGAAACACTTGATAATAGCAATTCCGTTAAGGTTTTGGATGGTCCTTCTTATGTAAAGAACAAGCTCGCTCAGGTTATGGTTACTCTCATCTACTATGAGTATCCATCAATCTGGTCTTCCATTTTCGTTGATTTTCTCCCTAATTTGAGCAAAGGCGGTTTAGTGATTGATATGTTCTGTCGTGTTCTAAATGCTCTGGACGATGAATTGATAAGCCAAGACTATCCACGAACACCAGAAGAGGGTGTGGTATCAGGGAAGATCAAGGATGCAATGAGACAACAATGTGTCAATCAGATCGTTCATGCTTGGTATGACATTGTCTCCCTGTACAAGAACACCGATTCTGAACTCTGCTCCTTTGTTCTCGACACCATGAGAAGATACATCTCATGGATTGAAATCGGTTTAGTGGCAAACAACACTTTCCTCCCTTTACTATTCGAACTAATGTTAGTAGAAGGATTACCAGATCAACTCAGGTCTGCAGCTTCCGGTTGTGTTCTTGCTGTTGTTTCTAAACGGATGGATTCACAAGCTAAACTCACCCTTCTCCAGAGCCTTCAAATGAATAGGGTTTTTGGTTTGGTAGCAGGTGATGTCGACTCTGAATTTGTTTCAGGGTTAGCCTCTTTGCTCATAGGCTACGCCTCTGTGCTTCTAGACTGCTTAAAGAATCTCAACAATGGAGATCACAAAAGAGCTTCCACTGATCTTCTGAATGAAGTCTTACCCTCTGTTTTCTACGTTATGCAAAACTGTGAGCTCGATACAACCTTCAGTATTGTCCAGTTTCTTTCAGGATATGTTGCAACAATGAAAGGTGTATCTCCATTGTCAGAAACACAGCTTTTTCACGTGGGCCAGATCTTGGAGGTAATCCGAATGCAAATTAGGTTTGATCCAATGTATAGGGACAATCTTGATGTGTTAGATAAAGTAGGAAGAGAAGAAGAAGATAGAATGATTGAACACCGAAAAGATCTGCTAGTCTTGCTTCGTACAGTAGGGCGTGTAGCACCTGATGTCACCCAAATCTTCATTAGAAACTCATTATCAAGTGCTGTGGGGTCCTCTCATGACATTAATGTTGAAGAAGTAGAAGCTGCTTTATCACTCTTTTATGCATTTGGTGAATCTTTAAGTGATGAGGCAATGAGAACAGGTAGTGGGATCTTGAGAGAACTTGTCCCAATGCTGTTATCCACAAAATTTCCTTGTCATTCTAACAGACTTGTTGCATTGGTGTATCTTGATACAATAACAAGATACATGAAATTTGTTCTTGAAAACAACCAATACATTCCTTTAGTTTTAGCTGCGTTTCTTGATGATCGAGGTATCCATCATTCAAAAGTGAAAGTGAGTCGAAGGGCGAGTTATCTTTTCATGAGAGTTGTGAAATTGCTCAAAGCAAAACTCGTTCCTTTCATTGAAACAATTCTTCAGAGTCTGAATGATACAGTTTCACAGTTTACAAGTATGGATTATGCATCAAAAGAGCTTTCTGGATCTGAAGATGGTAGTCATATTTTTGAAGCAATTGGATTGTTAATTGGAATGGAAGATGTTCCACTTGAAAAGCAAACAGAGTATCTTTCATCTTTGCTTACTCCCCTTTGTCAACAGGTCATAAAGCTTCAATCTTTTTTATGTTAAATTGAATCTTTTCTTATTATAACACAAGAATCTTGAAACAAAACAGGTTGAGATATTGATTGTGAACTCAAGAGTTCAAAACTCAGAAGAATCACAATCAAAAGTTGCCAATATCCAACAACTTATCATGGCCATTAATGCACTCAGCAAGGTTTTCATTCATTCCTTTACATCTATTTATGGATAATGACATTTTATATAACTTTCAATATATGTATTCCTACAGGGATTTAGTGAGAGACTTGTGACAGCTAGTCGCCCAGCAATTGGCCTTATGTTCAAACAGGTTAATAATCATATCATCTTTTTCTCAATTTCTACATTTTCTTGAAAAAATAAAAAACTAAAAAAAGTGTCATATTTTGTTATAGACATTGGATGTGCTGTTACAAATCCTTGTGATCTTTCCAAAAGTAGAAACCTTGCGCTCCAAGGTACATCCAAGAATCCTTTTTTTCTTTCTTGTGATGTATTTATTATTCTTCACTTTTATTCAATTAAAAACTCTCTTTTTTTATTTTTTTATTTTGTCAGGTTACTTCATTTATTCACAGAATGGTGGAGACATTAGGATCATCTGTCTTCCCTTACCTTCCAAAGGCCTTGGAGCAGCTTCTTTCTGAAAGTGAGGTATTAATTAATTATTTCCTTTCTAGCATTTAATTCAATATCTCCCCATCTTTTATTATTATTATTTCCTCCATTTTATTGCTTTTCTCACAATGACTTTCCTCATACACAGCCAAAAGAACTGGTGGGGTTTCTTGTTCTAATAAATCAACTCATTTGCAAATTCAATACTTCTGTTCAAGATATTCTTGAAAATGTATACCCTGTTATTTCAAGTAGAGTATTTAGTATTATACCAAGGGATACAATTCCTTCAGGACCTGGTAGCAACACCGAGGTACATTATTATTATTATTATTTTTAATCAGATAAACGATTTAAAAAAATATGTATTTTACGATTGGTTTAGGAAATTCGTGAATTACAAGAGCTTCAAAGAACATTCTACACGTTTCTTCATGTGGTAGCAACACATGGATTATCATCTGTGTTTCTTTCTGCTAAAAGTCGAGTCTATTTGGATCCAATGATGCAGTTACTGTTGTTCACTTGCTGTAATCACAAAGATCTCACTGTTAGAAAGGTATAAATTATAAAAATATAAAATGTAAAATATAAAATCTTGTTTGAATCTGATGAAATCTTTCTTTTTTTTTTGGTTTGCTTTAGGCTTGTGTACAAATATTTATTAGACTGATTAAAGATTGGTGCAATAGGACATATGGTGAAGAAAAGGTAATGTATACATTTATTCCATTTAAACTTCTGTATTTAATTTTATTAATTATGTATACAGGTACCTGGTTTTCAAACCTTTGTAATCGAGGCTTTTGCAACAAACTGTTGTTTATACAGTGTCCTCGATAAGTCCTTTGAGTTTCGTGATGCAAATACTGTAAGTCTATTTATTTATTTTTTTTTTGTATGTAAAAGTTATGTGAAGTTTATACTTTTTTTTTTTGCAGTTTGTTTTATTTGGGGAAATTGTAATGGCTCAGAAGGTTATGTATGAGAAATTTGGAAATGATTTTCTGATTAATTTTGTATCAAAAGGGTTTCTTGCTGCACATTGTCCTCAAGATTTAGCAGAAGAGTATTGCCAGAAAGTACAGGTACGCATTTATTTCTATTTCGTATTTATATTTGTTTTTGTAAAGTGATAAATGAAGTTTTTATTTGTTTGTTTATTTATTTATTTATTATCAGGGCAATGATATGAAGTCGTTGAAGTCATTCTACCAATCACTTATCGAAAATCTGAGAGTGCAACAAAATGGAAGCCTTGTTTTCAGATAGCATAATAAGCATGAAACTAATCAATAAAAAATGGTTCATGTGTATGTGTTACTCTGTTGGTGCTAAAATTTTGTTCTCAACAGCTTTTTCCCTGTAAATAAACATTTATCTCGCTCTCTTCCATTTCCATTACTTTGAGGTAAAATTAAAAAATTAACAAAAAAAAAAAAACTGTAAATTTTTTTTTTTCTTTTTCTTTATTTTAATTTGTTATTATTATTGGCTTGGTTGACCAGGTGTAAATTTCCGAAGAATGTTGACCAATCCAAGAATACAAGTGGTCGTCTATATTTTGCTTTAATTAAAATCTCTGTTTGTGTTGCCTACAATTGATATGATATGTTCTCCGATATTTTTTCATGGGGTCTGAGGTATAATTATTGTGTATTTTGTTTGTTGGAATTTATTGTTTTTTTTTTGCCAATGTGAATGTTTGAATATCTTTTGGCACCACTTTTTTTCTTTTTTGGGTGATTTATTATTATGTGTTGTTGTCATGGGCCATGGGCAATGAGAAGCCCTTTAAGGATGCATTTATTACGCTTGACATTCTACACGATTGGAAAAGCTTTCTATTATTTTTAATAGTGAAAAATGAAATAGTTATTGGATGGGATTGGATAAACTTTGTAATGTTAGTTTTTTGCAATTGCGTTTACTACAAAAGGACATTGGATGATTGGGAATGAACAAGCGTTTTGGTGTTATTTTTAATGATGAGGGTAGTCTTTTGTTAGTAGAGAAACTTTGGAAGCTTGTTTTTTGTGATGCGAATAAGGAGGATGTTTTTGTCTTTTTATATTACCATTTTTGGTACGTTCTTTCTCGATGGAAAAGAATTTGCAACTTTGTTTTATATGTTTGTGTCCAAGTCTTGGTTCAATGAGCGACACATGTTTTGTTGTTTTTATTATACACGACTGAAATGATATACGTGGACATTTCGAAATGATATGGAGTTTGGAATAGGAAAGATTAGAAAAAATGAGATTGTTAATTGGATAATTTTTTCTTTCTTGTGGTATTCTAATAGAAATAGTAGATGTATGGGATGAGTGAATTGGCTTTAAAATCATACTAACTCTTAATTATTTTTTAGCTCCTTACTAGTTTTTAGTTTTTTATTGGTTGTTTAAAAAAAAGTGATTAAATATGAATAAAATACTCTTAGCCAAGGCCGTAATCACCGGTTGTAATATGATATTTTTTTGAATATTAAAAATAAAATGGTGTACAGGAAAATAAAAAAGTGATTAAATATGAACATAATCAAAAATATGTTACTCTCATAAGTTATTATCTCTTGTTTTTAAACATTGGTTTTGGTTATAATCTAGTGAACAGCATAAAGAGTAAATAATGTCTTGTTCTATATATAACCAAAACAAGTTCATAAGAAAAGTTTAATGGTTTAGTAATACATGTTATTTGGTTGCTTTGACCAAATAGTTATATCTAGTAACTGGTAATGGAGTGGACGGAAGTTAGAAGGAAAAAGGCACCGGCGAGACCAAAGCATATTCAGGAAACAACTTACTTCGTCACCAATGTTCCAGAACAAGCCAAGAAAGGAGAAATCAGAGAGGCATTTGGGAGATTTGGGAAGTTTACAGATGTTTACATGGGAGACAAGAAAGGAAAGAATGGGAAGTATTTTGTATTTGTTCGGTTTGGTGAGGTCAAAAATGTCATGGAGCTAGAAGAGAAGATTAATGGAATGACATATAGAGGGAATAAGTTGGAAGTTAACCTGGCGAGACACAGAAGGAAAGATCTCCCAAACCCACATACAACTAATGTAAACCGGAGGCCAATACAAGTGAACAATACTGGGAGATGGAATACATTTAGGGATCACCGGACCTTCACAGATGTCACTAGACCCCCACACATGTCGGGGAAAAACTCAGCTCAATCTGTCCCGCCGGCACCACCGGGACCAAGGCCCATCCAATTACAATGGGACAATCAGACTTACCACTGGCTGCATAAGACATCACTCATTGGGGAAGCACTGACCTTAGACCATCTGGGACATCTGCCAAAACTCTTACGAGATAACGGTGAAACAGATTTAGAGATAAAATATGTTGGGGGGCTAAGGGTTCTGTTTCTTTTCGACAGCTCACTAGATGCAAAAGATTTCTTGAATAATGAGAACAGGTGGAAAGAAACTCTGAAGTGGGTGAATTGGAGTGATGAAACTGATATGCAAGTTGAGCGAGTAGCCTGGATCAGAATTACAGGGCTTCCACTATACTTATGGGGGGGGGGGGGGGGGGGAACGTAACTTTGCAAGCATCACTGAAGGGTTGGGGAAGACAATAGCACCATATGAAGATTTATCAAATAGGGTGGACTTGTCGTGCCCAAAGATTGGAATTCTCACCTCAAGGAAAACCAGAGTAAATGAAGAATTACAAGTTGCCATTGACTGGAGGGTCTTTAAAATTGGTATCATCGAATTTGACGAAGATTGGTTTCCTTTTCGATTTGACAAGTCGGAGGATTACTATGAGACACAGGATGAGGACGACGAAGAAGACAGTGAATATGGGAATGAAGAAGAGGATGGGATATCGGACACGTATATGGGGAACCCAGACGATGAGAAGGAAGAAGGTGAGATATCACCGGAACTACAAACGGAAAAGAATGTGATTCAATCGGAAGGTGGACAAGCGATAAACACAGAGATCGGAGATGAATTTCCGACCAGACAACCGGTGGTCAGAAGTGAGGTAAACGAAACGTCGGAAGAAGTGCAACGGACACCTGGTGAACAAATGATGGTGCGGGATTCTATGTTGACTGAACACGTAGCATCGCCTAGAATCTTGGAGGCATTAATGGATAACGGTAACATCCCTAGTCTAATCCACAACTCAAAGGACAACTGCCCTGGCCCAGGTATGGAATCAAACCCAAACTTAAATGGGCTTTCTTATGAGCTACCCCTAATTGGTTGTTTTGGGCCGTTTTCGTCTCCTATTGTATCAAACAAAGGCATACGCCAGTCATCTGAAGTATGTAGTTCACTGGGGAAAAGGAGGAGACTAGAGCATGACGAACCCAGACGACCTATCCCTTTAATAAATCAGATGACTAGCCTCTTTGACCTTGATGTACCCCCGTCACACATGGCTTCCCAAACGGCGGTAGTCAAAGAAGTCGATCACGCTCCAATCGACATTAACATAGTCCCGTCTGAAAGTCATGGAAACCTGAATGAAGACGTGTCTGACGATTGCTCCTCTTCTTCAACTGAAATTAGAAAGACGGTAGAAATTGGGAATGCATTAGGGTTCGAAATTAGCCCCAATGACCCAATTTTAAAGGGAGTAATGGGTGAAATTGGCGAGGCTGCAGCACCACAATGAATTGTATCAGCATTAATGTGAGTGGAATAGGCGAAGACTACAAGGTCGAATGGGTGAGGAGATTAAAGACGCAACATCGTGCCTTCTTTGTGGGGATGCAGGAGACACAACTGGTGAATGTGAATGATATAGATGTCGCAGGATGTTGGGGCTCAATAGATTTTAGCTACTCGGCAATTCAATCCCAAGGTAGGTCTGGTGGTCTAGTAAGCATTTGGGACAACAGGATCTTCAAAGTCTCTGAGATCATAAAATCGAGATATCTACTGGAAACAATTGGGAGATGGGAAGGAATTCAAGGGGACACTATCTTAGTGAATGAATATGGACCACATTCTAGCATAGAGAAAAGAAAGCTTTGGGATGAATTATTAGAAATAAAAAGGAATAAAGGAGGTACTTGGGTGGTGTTTGGTGATTTCAATACTGTTAGGCGGTCAGACGAACGCTACAATTCGCATTTTTGCCCTCAGTCTGCTTTTCATTTCAATAGTTTCATCAGGGAAGCAGGCCTTAATGATATTCGAATGGGTGGTTTGCGTTATACCTTCTGTTGCCCAACTGATATCAAATTAAGTAAACTTGACCGCTTCCTGGTTTGTAATAATTTTCTAAACGTCTTCCCCTCAGTATCTGTTACTGCACTCCCAAGGGATGTATCTGATCACAGCCCTATTGTATTAAAAACTGTTGCACCCGACTTTGGAAAACCCCCATTCCGATTTTTCAACTCATGGATGCAGAAAGAAGGCTTTGATAATGTTTTTGTCAGGGCCTGGCTCAATTTTAAGGGGTATGGTACCCCGGATTACTATCTGATGGCCAAGCTCAAATTCTTGAAGAATGAACTTAAAAAATGGAGAGCAAATGAATACCCCAAGGAGACAGTTGAGTTGAAGAGAATCAAACAGCAGGTACATGATATTGATTGTTTGGCGGAGAGGCGACAACTTAGTGAATTGGAGATGAATGACCGGCGATCTGGAATACATAAATTAATTGAAATGGAGAAATTATCGACTTTGGATCTGAAACAAAAATCCAGAATAAAGTGAGTGATAGACGGCGATGAGAATACATCTTTCTTCCATGGATATGTGAATAACAAGCTTAGAAAGAGCAGAATAATGGGGCTACAGATCAATGGATCTTGGACCACAGATGCAGAGACTATTAAACAAGAAGTTTTTTCATTTTACCAAAGAAAGTTCCTGGAGAAATGGCCGTCGAGACCAAAGCTGTTCAGCAATAAATTCAACCCGTTGGATGCAATTGACAAATCCCAGTTGGAAGCCCCATTCACCAGGGAAGAAATCAGACGTGCTGTATGGGCATGCGGGAACGAAAAGGCGCCGGGCTTTGATGGCTTTTCTTTCCAATTCATTAAAAAGTTCTGGGCAGAGATGCAAGATGACATAACAAATGCTGTTAAATACTTTGAAAACTATGGGAGACTTGGAAGAGGATGCAACTCTTCTTTCATTACGTTAGTACCAAAGATCAAGGACCCGATCACGCTTGGAGATTATAGACCAATAAGTCTTATTGGCTGTCTATACAAGATAATTGCAAAAACCTTGGCTCACAGACTAAAAAAGGTTATTGGCAAGTGTATTGGAGAGGTGTAAACTGCTTTTGTTGAAGGAAGGAATATCCTGGATGGTCCGCTGATTGTAAATGAACTGTGCTCATGGAGTAAGAAAGCAAAAAAGAAAATGTTGCTCTTCAAAGTGGACTTTGACAAAGCATTTGACTCAGTCAATTGGGAATACCTTGACTCGATTCAAATGCAACTGGAATTTGGAGATAAATGGCGTGGTTGGATTCAAGGTTGTTTACGCTCTGCAAGAGCTTCTGTGCTAGTAAATGGGTCACCCACAAAGGAGTTCGGAATGGAGCGGGGAGTTAGACAGGGCGATCCACTGTCACCTTTCCTTTTCATTATTGCCATGGAGGGGCTTAATATTGCAATAAACACAGCTTTTGAGAAAGGCATTTTTACTGGGATATCCCTCCCACATTCAGAGACATCTATTTCTCATTTATTCTACGCGGATGATGCTCTATTCGTGGGTGAATGGAATAAAGAAAATATTAGGAATCTCGCAAGAATTCTAAGGTGCTTTCACGTAACTTCTAGCCTTAAGGTTAATTTCCACAAATCACGGGTAATTGGTGTTGGAGTAGATATGCATGAGGTTACACGGTATGCCACTCCCCTCGAATGTGAACCGGCCAAACTCCCCTTCAACTACCTTGGTGTTCCGGTAGGAGGGAACATGAGGTTAAAGAAAAACTGGGGACCGATGATTGATAGATTCCAGGCCAAACTATCCTTATGGAAGTCAAAAACACTTTCAATGGGGGGACGTCTCACTCTATGTAAGGCGGTTCTTGGTAATCTACCTACATATTATTTCTCTCTGTTTGTTGCACCCTCTGGAGTCATAAATACTATGGAAGGGTTAGAAGGAAATTCTTATGGGGTATGAATGATGATAGGAAGAGGAAAATCAACTGGGTTTCTTGGCAAAAGGTGGTGTCTCCTAGAGTAACTAGTGGTCTGGGGATGGGTTCACTTAAAGCTTTGAATTTGGCACTAATCGGAAAATGGTGGTGGCGGTTGCGCAATGAGGGTACAAGTTTATGGAGGGAGTCTATTATGGGTATCCATAATCTCAAGAATAAAACTGCTGACTGTATCTCAAAAAAGTCCATTCCGGGTGTTTGGAACAATATAGCAGGTGTAAAAAGCGAGTTCTTAAAAGTTGGAATCAATTTTGATGAAGTAATAAAAAAACAGGTGGGTAATGGTGACTGCACGTTGTTTTGGTTAGATAAATGGATGGACAACGAAAATTTAAAGTCAATGTTCCCAGAATTGTACAAGCTAGAGAAAACTAAAAAGTGCAAAATAAGGGACAGGATAAACACCGGGGGAATAACATGGGAATGGAAATCGAGTCCATCCTCTAGTTCTCAAGCATGTGAATTTGCTGAATTGGCTCTCAAAGTGGAATCATTCCTACCAAACTCCCAACCAGACAGGTGGGTATGTAGCATCTCGGGGGATGGGGTTTACCATGTCAATGTGGTAAGGGAACTGATAGATATGGTGGGCTCGAGTAATGAAGGAGGGAAGATCGATTGGATTCCGGAGGTCCCAACTAAGGTACGGTGTTTCATTTGGATGGTGGTCTTAAATGGTATCCCAACTGCGTGTGCTCTCCAAAAGAGAGGAATCAACTTCAACTCAGTTATGTGCAGCTATTGTGATCTGGAAAGAGAAGATACTGATCATGCTTTGATCAAGTGCCCGATGGCAGCAAAGGTGTGGGAGGAGATGTTAAGGTGGTTTGGCATTCCTCATCCTCAATTTGGGAATATAAGTGACGTGGTGAGGTTCTGCTCTACATGGGGAAGATGCTTAAAGAAGAGGAGGAACCTAATTAGCATTTGCTATGGTACTGCATGGCTAATCTGGAGAGCAAGGTGCAATTTTGTCTTTAATAAGATTCGGGTATCACCCAACCAACTGGCGGGCAATGTTTTGAAAACCGGACCGGAGATCGAACCGGTCGTCTTACCGGTTCGATGGTTCAGATGGTCCAACCGGTCAGACCGGTCTCAAAAACCGGGAAAACCGGATGATGTCATAATTATATTTAATTATATAAAAAATACAAAAAATAAAAAAAATAATTTTTTTTTTAAATTTCCGGTTTTGACCGGTTCAACCGGTTTTTACTGGTTTTCACCGGTTCAAATGAATACCGGTTTTTTGGCATTTAAGAACCGGATCCGGGACCGGTTCCCGGTTGAACCGGTCGAACCGGCCGGTCCGGTCCGGTTTTCAAAACATGGCTGGCGGGGAACATTCAATCCATGGTGTTTTCATGGATTAAACATAGGAGAGTTAATTGTTCTTATAAATGGATTGACTGGTGCTCTAGTCCTTCCTATTGTATGTAAATATTTCTTATCTGCAATTTGAACTTTTAGCCTATAGTTTCTTGCTATTTTGGCCTCTTTTCTAATATATTATTTGCCGGTTCCAAATAAAAAGTTATATCTAGTACTTTGTAATGATTACTCGTGAATATAATAGTTTAGTGTATGTTCGAATGCATGTATTTTTGAAACGAGGGTACTCTTATGTATCTGATGACATTCAATGAATATACCTTAATGAAAAGACAATAAATTGTGAGACACATTTGTATGAGGATTATATGCTCACAAAATCTAATCATTCAACAGAAACGAACATAAAAGAAAGAGATTGATTGTGGGAACATAAGAAGCCTAAATGAATGTTGGGCGCCAAACGACCGGGTCAACCACTATCATGTCGTTTGCTTTGATTGATTGAGGTATGCGTTGACCTCCTTTTAATTAAAGACCATCAAACTAGTCATCTATCGGTTTCATAATTATTCCATTCTTTATTTCGTATTTAATTTAATTTAATGGGTCTAATTTGTAAAATAAAAGAGATGATGCTACTTCTCATGTTTACAGCATTTTATTGAAAGAGAGTCACGTATTAATATTATTTTTTGTAGTCATTTTTTAAAATTTGTTATTTATTATTTGGGTTTAAAATATTTTTGAGAAAAATCTTGTTGGAAATGTTTTTAAGTTGCAACAAACCCCAAAAAATGTTATACAAATGTAACGAAGTTGCGATTTTTGTTTTTCTACCTGCTAGACCAGATTTAGCATGTCATATTTTAATTTTCAGCTTTATGTTTTTGCTTAGTGTTTTGAATTTAGTCCAAAGTTTATAAGTGTGGTCCAAACTTGTTATTAATTTAGTCCAAACTATAAGTTTTGTTATTAATGTGGTCCAAACTTTGTTTTTTAATTTAATTTTTACAAACTCTACCCAAATCTGTTTTTATACAACTTTTCTAGACTTTTTAAAACTATTTGTATGATTTTATATTTACAGTTTTACAATTTTTTTTTAATAAACTTCTTAAAAGAAATTACAACAT